TCTTCATTAGAGGGTAAACTCTTCATTAGAGGGTAAAGTCTTCATTAGAGGGTAAAGTCTTCATTAGAGGGTAAAGTCTTCATTAGAGGGTAAAGTCTTCATTAGAGGGTAAAGTCTTCATTAGAGGGTAAACCCGTCATTAGAGGGTAAACTCTTCATTAGAGGGTAAAGCTGTCATTAGAGGGTAAACCCGCCATTAGAGGGTAAAGCTGTCATTAGAGGGTAAACCCTTTATTAAAGGGCAAAGATAATTTTAGAAGTTCTTTTCCGTTCTGACATGTAATTCAGAAATATTCTAAAGATTTATTTATTATCAGGATTCGATGTATAATGGAATTTCTTGAGTTTTCTTCTTTATTATCAATTTAATATTGTATTCATTATCTCATGCATCGATATTTGATACAATAATTTAGCGAAGATAATATACATTTTTAGATAAAATATATTTTCAGTGGAATTTTCGATATTCGGTAACATTTTCAACTTTTACAGGCGTTCATAAACTGTCGCTTCCATTTTACTTTTGTCAGTAAAGCAAGCCAAGCAACAAAACTTTATGCATGGCCTTAAATTCCTAAGTTAATGTTAAGTTTTATTCAATTTTATTATATATTTTTTTTACAAATTATTTTTCAGGAAGTAAGGAATTACTTTCAGTTTTTTTAATAGAAGGCGGCAGAGTAGCCGCGAGGTTGGCAGGACGTGAACGATGGCATCACAGCGAGTGTTATAAATAACCTGGTGATGGTGAGCTAACTTGGACACGACTAGCCACAATAGTGCCAAAATAGTGCCATAACGGTGCCACATTGGTGCCGCAATAGTGCCTCAACCGTGCTACAATTATGCTATAACAGTGCCTCAGTAGTGTCAAAATAGGGCCATTATAGTGCAACATTGGTGCCACTTGATGCCAACATAGTGCCACATTGGTGTCGCAACAGAGCCATAACAGTGCCAAAATTGTGCCATAACAGTGCCTCAATAGTGTCAAAATAGGGCCATTATAGTGCAACATTGGTGCCACTTGATGCCAACATAGTGCCACATTGGTGTCGCAACAGAGCCATAACAGTGCCAGAAGTTGACATTTGGCACCGACAACGCAATGGCATCGTTTTGTCGCATTACTGGCCATGCCCGTAATTTGCCCAAGCCCCACTACTTCCCCCTCCTGCCCCCCATTTCCCCAGCTGATGCTAAAAAACTCTGCCGCATCACCGGGAGGGTCACGGACCTACATCACTATTCCCCCATCGTGGCTTTCGGTAAACCGATAAAGTTCGATGGGGTCATCGGCTGCCGCATCACGATGTTCGAAAACTTCACCTTCGCCAGACCCATTTTCATCAAAACTAAAGAGAACGAGAAGGCATTCGATTATCTTGAAGAAGTCATGGTGCAGATGAAGAACAAGAAGAAAAAAGGGGCAGACGCCGATAAAAAATTTGCGTACGATGTGCATGAACACAAGATAACTATTGTGGTTCCGCCCGAAATGGAGGAGGCCATCCGATGTGGTGAAATAGAAAACTTTTCAATTAATAAGGATTGTAAGTTGGTGCAGATCAAGATCAGATCTGGGAGGATAATTAAACTTAACCTGGAGGGGATCCCCAAAGAGGAAATCGAGGCTTCGGAGTCGATCTTTTACGGTGAAGGCCAAAGCAAAGAAGTCCTAGCAGAGCAACAAAGCGTGATAAACGAGAGAAACAAACGTAAACAAGACACCATGGCCAGGAAGAAACTCTTCGAAGAGAAGGAAAAGAAGGAAGAAGAACTTGAGAGAAGAGACATCGAACGACCGAAGTCCAAGAAACCGCTGGTGATGTCACACAAAAAGCGAGCCGAGAAGAAGGAGAACATGGAGAAGATGTTAGAGGAACACAAGTCCAACAAGTCCATCGTCTTACCGAATTTTGAAGCTTACGGACCCGACGCTGATCCAGACGAAATCGTTCGTTACGAAATGATGTTAGAGGAAATAGCAAAAGCCCAGAAGACGTCACACTCTCTAGTGGTTTGTTCGACTGGATTCGACTGGAACGAAGAAAAAACAGCAGCCCAAGGATTCGACTGGGATAATTTCCCCGCAGAAGTGGAAGACGTCAAGCCAATTGAAGTATCTTCCCCAGGGATAATGGGGGATGAAAAGATAATGCTGGGGACACAGTTAATCACGTTGAACATCGTAGCGGCCGTTGAAACCTTAGAACCAGCAGCGGCTCCTTCGCCCGAAATATTGACCGCCATTTCCGAACTCAAGAAGGATAAGAGGATCACCAAGACCGAAAAAGTTGCAGAAACCATCAAAGAGTTTGACTGCATTGACGTGGTGGCGACATTCGATGAGATTAGCAAAATTTCATCAAAAATGAGCCGTGCTGATATCGGGTTCTTGGTCCAGAGAGACGGAGACACTCAGTTCATCCCAAAGACCAAATTCAAAGAAACTGACGCGGAAGGCCGGGCTTTATCCGGAGCAATGGTTGAAATCGATGATAATAAAGTCAAGAAGTTTGTGACCGGTCAAATAATTCACCTTGCTGATGGTGAATCCTTTGTGGCTGGCCAAACGATGGTTAGCGACGACGGAAAAAGGTTCGTGCCTGGTCACACGGTGGTCGACCGTGATGGCGAGATCAAATTTATCCCTGGTCAGAGTGTGGTTGCGCAAGATGGGTCAAGTACATTCATGGCAGGTCAATTGGTGGACACCCCTACTGGTCCTAGGTTCGTGCCTGGTCAAATGCTGGATCGTGGCGATGGAAAACCGGTGTTTATTCCTGGGCAAACCATCACCACAACCGATGGACCCAAATTTGTGCCCGGTGAGATCGTCAAAGATGAAGAAGGATTTGATTGTTTCGTTCCTGGTCTACCCATGCCTACTGAAGTAGGTAATACTTTCGTCCCTGGTCAGACATTCCAGGATGAAATCGGAAACGTGAGTTTCACTCCTGGACAGATAGTGGACACGGTAGAGGGACCTGTATTCGTCCCTGGCAAAACTTTCAAAACTGACAAAGGAGAAAAGAAATTCGTCAAGGGTGAGATCATCAGAGATAAAGACGGCAGCATCAAGTTCGTGCAGAAAGAGATGAATATTCCAGCGATTCGAGAAGAATTGGTTATTCCTTCAGAAGAACTGATCCCTATTGCTATTGCGGGGAAGAATGTGACAGGATTTGCCGTGAACCCCACCAATACCTTGAACATCGAGAAGGGCGAGAAACTGATTGGTGACATGGTTGAGACTGCGAACGCTGTGCAGTTCTACCTGACCGGTAAAATGCCCGATAAAATGATCGCAGAAGCTCTGAAAATAATTTCTGGAAAACTTGAAGTCGGCGAAGATGAACAAAGATTCATTCCAGGTCGTGTCATCACCACCGCCGAGGGTGAGAAGTTCGTCCCTGGTCAACTTGTGATGACGAGTCATGGGGAAGATTTCGTTCCTGGACAAATTGTGGAAACGAAAGACGGTCCGAAGTTCGTACCTGGACAAATGGTAATGACGTCCGAGGGTGAGAAGTTCGTACCTGGACAAGTGATTATCGAAAAATCTGGACCCCGGTTTGTCCCTGGACAAATTATTCAAACTAAGAGTGGGGCAACTTTCATTCCTGGACAAATGATGAACACCAACGAGGGACAGAAGTTCGTCCCCGGACAACTTGTTGAATCTGTTGATGGTCCTCGGTTCGTTCCTGGACAGGTAATAGAGACTGCGGAAGGCCCGAAGTTCGTCCCAGGAACGGTAATTGAAACAGAAGATGGATTGAAATATGTCCCTCACGAGGCCGAAGAAACTGGAGATGAAGATATCGCCATTGCCTTCCAAGGCTTCGAAGTAACTCCTGAAGAAATGCATCTTTTGACGGTTAACCCAACAGATGCTCGAGCCCATTCCCCTATTACCAACGACCAATGTCTGATCGATACAAGGACTTTGAAGCGACTTGCTTCGGATACGATGGAAATACACGGAAAAACTCCAGAGCCACAACCGGAGAAGAAGAAAATGAAGAAAGCCAAGAAACGCGTCGCCATTGAAGCTCCTGATGATGAAGAGGTGGAGGTGGAAGAAGAGGTAGTAGAAATCGATGAAGGAACTGATAAACTCGAGATCCTGAAAATGCTGTTCAATGCTGCAAATACGGTCAGCAACGTTAAGAAATCTAGGGAAATGAAAAAGGTCAAAGCCCTTTTGGGTGATGACGCCTCTTTGGTGTTTCCTGTAGAAACTTCTGCCGTGGCCAAAATTTTGTCGTCCGCTTCTGACAAAGATTCAGACATCATTCCTATATTTTTGGGTCCCAACGAAGAGCTCGTTCATGAAGTCATGTCCCAAATATCGTCACTTGATGATGTTACATGCAACGACCAAGTAAAAAAGATGATCGGAAGTACGTTGAAGTCCGTGGTCACCAACAAGTGTAATCAGGAGATCTCCAAGATGATCGGGAGGCTGAAGGACGATCCATCTTGTCTCATGACCGATGCAAAGATACAGATTCTCCTCACGGAAGCCGTTGGCATTGTATGCGTTTTGGGCGACGTCGAGGTGGCGTCTCTTTTGGAGAAATTTATTTCTGAACCATCGGACCCGAGTGTTCTAACTGACGATCCCGAGGTTATGAACGTCCTCCGACAACTTCTTGTTCTACACGAAGCTGCTGAGAGGGATGATGACATAGCCAAGTTACTGCAAATTCTTCGAACGAATCCTGAAGGGTTGAAGTCGAAGAAGCAAATCCGTGCGGTGTTGAAGAAGGCCAATAAGCTTCTGGTTGAACCCTCTGAGTATTCCAAGAAGGGCAAGAAGTTTGATGTCCGCCATGTTGCTTCTTCAAGGGACATTCCAGAAGAAGTATTCCAGCAACTCAAAGCGGACAAAGAAGAAGCCGACAAATTCCTGGAAAACCTACCAGATGAACTCTTCCACGCCATCATGGGCGACGAACGTGCCGGAAACCAAGTTCTGGAAGGTTTGGACCAGACAAGCCAGAAAGCCAAAGCGGACATCGCTAGGTTCCGACAGGGTATGGCGGTGGTGGTAACACAAAGCAGTGTCCAGGCGGTCATACCTCGGAGGTATGCCAGGTCTGTGTATTATGGTATCATGCCATACCTCCTCATCGATGAACAAGGGTTCAAGTTCTTCGAGAGGGGCTTAACGGGGCGTAAGTTGGCGCCAAGCAAAATCATCGAGAACACTTGGTTCAAGGATGACGACTACTACAAGAAGCAGATTCTCTACACTAAGGTGAGTGAATCGACACCTTTGTTTATTGTTCATCGTTGAGTGAGAATATTCGAATATTTTAGTTAGTATATTGCATTTCACTATATTCATAATATTTTGGTTATATTCGGTATTACACTTTCATTTTTTATAGATCTTCTAGATTCTAGGAGCGAAAAGGTATCGGTATTGTTCTGAATTTAAATTCAATTGAAATACTAGGTATTAATATTTAACAATGGAAACTATGGTAGAATTTTTATAATATGGTAAATTACATTGGATAAAGTATTAATATTTTTGACTTTCTAGGACGTATATAATTATAGATCCATACACTACCTCTACTACAAAAACCTATTATTGTCCAGTACATCTACTGTGTACGTCTATTCTGCTACCTGTAACCCTTATCATCCATAAACTACTTTACTACATGTTTTCTACAGTCTAATTCTACTTTTATCCTCTTCTACTATTATACTAAAAATATGCTCCGAATTCTATTCCTCTACATAACCTACTTTCTAACACTCATACTTAAAGAGATATGATAACATTTAATGAGAGATATACTCGTGTACCTGTGCTTGATTATGCCATATATTGCATTTAATGAGAGATATACTCGTGTACCTGTGTTTGATTATGCCATATATTGCATTTAATGAGAGATATACTCGTGTGTCTGTGCTTGATTATGCCATATATAACATTTAATGATTGCCATATATTGCATTTAATGAGAGATATACTCGTGTACCTGTACTTGATTATGCCATATATTGCATTTAATGAGAGATATACTCGTGTACCTGTGCTTGATTATGCCATATATTGTATTATATTGCATTTAATGTCACATTTACCTCATCAATATGAGTAAATTCACTGTTCTACTGGACACCTACTGTCACATACACCAACAATAACCATCCATTAACTGTTCTAATGGGCATCTACTGTCATATACACACCCATAACAAACACTGTGCAATGGGAGATTAGGCTCACGTTAAAATTGAGTTTTAATTTGAACCTAAATTCTTCAATTTAATTAAGGCCTAATTTCTAATTAGTTTCTTAATGAGCTGCAATTTATGTACCGTTCAGTAAATATTTTCATTTAATTATTTTGAATATTAAATTAATGTGTGATTAATTTGTGTGAATTTGTGAAAAATAATTAGTTGTAATTAGTTATTATTATTATTAGTTATTAGTAATTAGTTCTATTAGTAAATAGAATTTGCATTTCAGCTGAAAGTTTTTCAATAAAAAAAAATCACAAATATCACCTAATTAACTATATTATCACATAATAAACTATATTATTACATAATTAACTAAATTATTAATTATTTAACTATATTATCATATAATAACTCAATTATCAGCTATATAACTATATCTAATTAACAAAATTATAACCTATTAAACTATATTATCACCTAATAAACCGTATTTTTACATAATTAAATAAACTATCAAATATTTAACTATACAAATCCCTTTAAAAATATATTTTATATAAATATATGGACTGGTATATGTACCCCCTTTCCTTCATATATATATATACATTTATAAGTATATATATGTATATATAAGAGGGTAAGGAGGTGAGGGTAAGGGGGTGCAGGGGTTGTAGACCATAAATGACAGGGTCTACAGGGGGTAGAGGGTCTACAGAGGGAGGGGGGTANACGCGAGTGTGGCGGTGAGTTGTGGTGTCATAAATGTCAGATGGCTTAAATAATTAGATTAGAAATGATTAGAATAGAAATATATATATTAGAAATAATTAGATTAGATATAATTAGATTAGAAATGATTAGATTAGAAATGATTAGATTGGAAATAATTAGATTAGAAACAATAGGATTAGATATAATTAGTTTAGCAATAATTTAGATTAGAAATGATCAGAATAGAAATATTTAGATTATAAATTATTAGATGAGGAATAATTAGATTTGGGATAATTAGATTAAAAAATAATTAAATTACAATATAATTAGATTAGAAACAATTATATTAGTAATGATTAGATCAGAAATAATTTGATTAGAAATAATTAGAATACAAATAATTATATTATAAATAATCAGACAATAAATCGTTACATTAGTAATAACTAGATTAGAAATAATCAAACTAGAAATAATCGTGACAAAATAACTTTATTAATGATATAAAATTGCGCAGCTTTAGCGTGTCTAAATTGGTCGCCGCTGTCGCACGATAGCTGATAAGCCCTGATGAATTTAATGATTCATATGAATTTATTATTCATATGAATCTCTATAATTATATTCAATAATAATAAATAATAATGATAAGTGAATAATCGTATAATAATTCTATAATTATATTCAATAATAATAATAATAATATAAATTAAATAATCGATGCTGTTAATGAGGAATGTATGCTGAACGTGTGCATGTTTTAAGCCTTAATTAGTCCGCCAGCTAATTAATGAGAAAATAAACTGAGTATTTATTAATTAGAACGAGACGCACACACATGAACGTAATGCTTTCAAAACACGCACACGAACACGTACATGCATACGAACATGTACACATTCTCACGCATACACACACTCAAACACACATTCCACACGCCAGCCAAGAATTTGTGTGTGCTGTGTGTGTGTGTAGTGTGTGTGTACTGTGTACGTGTGCTGTGTGTGTGTGTGTGTACTAAAGTACACGGTACATTTATACTAACATATTTTATTTAACATATTATTTAATAATATATGTTAAATAATAATAATATGTTAATTGTGTGTATGTGTGTGTGTGTGTGTGTGTGTAGTGTGTGTACTAAATTACACGGTACATTTATATTCACATATTTTATTTAACATATTATTTATTAATATATGTTAAATAATAAAAATAATATGTTAAATAATATTAACATATTATTTAACATATTATATAATATCATACATAACGTGAGTATCATCAACCATTAAATTTGAATTTTTACAAATAATATTTGTTAATGATATAATGATATATCGACCCTAACCCCCCTAACTAGGGCCTCATTTCACTAGTGCCAACCTAATAACAAACTAGGTCCATGCTGGCCTAGATTAGTTCTAGTATGAAATACTAGAACTAACCTAGTAGGATAGTTACTAAATACTAGAACCTATACTAAAAAACCTATACTAAATAATAGAACCTATACTAAAAAACCTATTCTAAATACTAGAACCTATACTAAATACTATACTAAAATATACTAGAACCTATACTAAAAAACCTATACTAAATACTACTAAAACCTATACCTATACTAATTACTAGAACCTACACTATAAACTTACTAAAATATACTAGAACTATCCTAGGAGGATAGTTCTAATATAGTTAACATATTCTTTTTAGGCTAACATAACTTTACATTATACCNCTCCCTTTCATAATCTGTCGTGAACGCATAAATCAACGTACAGAGATGGTTTAGGTACCGTTGGATAGATCAGAATGTCAGCTTTAAGATGAGACTTTAAAACCGGAAAAGCCGAAATCCAAAATTTTACCCTAGACGCTCTCCTTAATCTTATATAGTGTCATCCACCATATTCTTATTTTTTCACTATCCACTTTGCAGAATATGGTGCAGGATATGGTGCGTGATATGGTGCTATTCACCCTGTGCTGGATACTTCTCACCATCACACCTAGACACTTACCAATGCTATGCCCCCTAGTGGTGCTACTAGTTGCACTATGTCTAGCATCATTTATCTAGGGTATGACTAGTACCAACACATCTAGGGTAGGACTAAAACCAGTACATCTAGGGTAGGACTAGAACCAGTACATCTAGGGTAGGACTAGAACCAGTACATCTAGGGTATGACTAGTACCAACTGATGGTGACTGTCGATAGAAAGATGATAGTTGAAAAATAACTAGCCAATTCACTAGTTAAATTATATATATTATAGGGCAAAATAGAACATTCTATTATTGAGTAGAATAAGTTAAATGAAGGTGAACCTTAAGGGAGAAGAAAATGTTTAATTAAGAAAATGTTTAATTACATGTTGATGCTGTGGGTGACTATGAACAAATTTAAATAATATTTCTTTTAATAATAAATTAATAATAATGATAATAATATTTCTATAATAATAATAATAGTTGCGTGGTAAATTAACTCTATTCATATTTGCCCTTTTACTAAAATCTATCGTTTGGAGTAATATTTTTGAATAGTTTAATTTATTTTAATTCAATATTCATAAAAATATTTAATTAATTAATTAATAATTAATTAATTAATTAGAGTAATTAATAAGAAATTAAAATAAATAAGATTAATGAGCCGAGTACGGAGTATCCATGATACCGTATATCTATAATCCATGAATTTATTATTAATTAATAAGCCGAAATATTTTTTTATAATTAACATGAATTTGACACGTTAAAATTCGCGTGCAGTTTACGGTCGAGAAATCTGCCCCTGAATTGACCCTGATTAGAACTACCAATTTAAACTTTGATGATTCCTTAATTAGATTAATTTGGCCTTTAAATAGTTAAATAATGAACATATTTTGCTGATTATTTCCAACATAGTAAAATTACCTTATGATTAATTTTTTATACCATGGAAATGTGAAATTGTTTTTTGGTGCGTCAATGTGTTGAAAATAATTTTAAACAATTAAGTACGTAACGTAAAACTGGTGTACAAATGTAATATATAAAAGAGATCAAAATACCATTAATAAATAATACTATAAATTCATACCAATTAAATATTCTAAATTGAAATGTTATGTATATTTCTTCGTTATAAATTTCATTTTAAGTTTATTCAGGTTGAATACATGAGAATTTGTTAGTTATTTTTAAACCAAGGACCCACCTACACTGGTTAGATTAGCCTGGGTTACATGCAGACACTCAAATAAATCAATTAGACGTTGTCCAAGTAGCGATGCATTATTACAATTAGGTTACATGCCTTATGAAACACTCACTTACTGAGACACACTTTCACACCTATTGAGACACCTAGTGAGACACCTATTGAGACATCTGGGTTACATGCAGACACTCAAATAAATCAATTAGATTTTGTCCAAGTAATGATGCAATTAATCTAATTAGGTGACATGCCTAATGTAGGTGTAGGTCACCCTAATTAGGGGGCATACCTAATGAAAAACTCACCTACTGAGACACACACTCACACCTAATGAGATACCTAATGAGACACCTAATGAGACACCTAATGAGACACCTAATGAGACACCTAATGAGACACCTAATGAGACACCTAATGAGACACCTAATGAGACAGCTACGCTGCGGTTCTCATCAAATTGAAGGTTGGAAGCGTCTCATCATTTATGTTAACAATAAAAAACTCTGTACAAAGTAAAGCTATTAAATCAATCAATATATTAATTAATATTAAATCAATAGTAGAACTGATAGAATATGCTATGTTACAATAACTTAGTACAGATAAATAACGGCCGCTCTATGTATAAATGCTGAGAAAAATGCTTGTATAAATGCTGAGAAAAATGCTTAGCTTTTGTATGTGGTGTCGTAGGAATAGCATTGTGGATGTATCGGCATGACAATAAAAGGCTAACTTGCAACTCTGGTAGGAATAGCATTATAATATGTGACGTAGGTTCAAATCAAGGGGAAACCAATATATATTTAATTAATGTTGAAAGTTTTAAAGTTTTTAAGTTCTAATTAGCCAGATTTATTTTTTCCGAATAAATTTAATTTAAAAATAAATGAAATTAAAGAAAGATTAATTAAAATTGAACATAATCGCAATTATCAATTAACTTTCAACTTTATCAACTTTAATACTAATCGTAACGGAGGATATCAATGATTAAATTTGAAAAGATAAATGAAAGAGAAAATAGGTAAAAATTAATTATTTACAGCGTTAAAAAGATAAATGAAAAAGAAAATAATTAAATAATAATTAATTATCACTTTGAAAAGATAAATGAAAGAGAAAATAGGTATAAATTAATTATTTAAAACTATAAAAAGATGAATGGATGAGAAACAAGTTATAAATTAATTAATTATTACTTTAAAATTATAAATGAAAGAGAAAATAGGTATAAATTAAATTATTAAAACGTTAAAAAGATAAATGAAAAAGAAAATAATTATATTTTAATTAATTATTACTTTAAAAAGATAAATGAAAGATAAAATGTAGGGAAACGTTCCTTGAAGTTAACAAAACAAGACTTCAATTATTGCTTAGCTTAGTAACCATTTGATGTCTATTGTTAGATTATTTTAAATTTATTTTACGTTAATCAATTTAGATTAAATATTAATAAAACTAACGTAATAAAATCCCCGGTTATTAAATTCACTGGTTATTAAATTAAAATAATTTTAATTTATTTATAAGAGTCACCGTACCAGTTGTATTAAAATAATTAAAAATATTGTTCATTAACAAATTAATAATTAAAATAATTCTATTTTATAAGAGTCACCGTAAAAGTTCTAATAAAAATAACAGCCATACCAACAGTCATGTGCGTTACACTATGTGCGTTACATTATGTGCGTTAAACTATGTGCGTAACATTATGTGCGTTAAACTATGTGCGTTACAGTATGTGCGTTACAATATGTATTTATATATAACAACATTCACGACTAACATAACTCAACATTGCATGTTATGTTGTCCTGCTATCTACTTCAGTCACCCTTCGTTTTCTCAGTTTATATTTTCTATTCTTCTTTGTGTTCAGGAAATATCGTCAAGACTGCAATATTTTCCTCTGATGAAATACATCACATCACATGAAATACACACTACAGGTTGTGACCCCTTAATCCATATTTGCATGATAAATCGAAATTTCCGCGATAAATAAATGTATCGACAATATATCCAATTCTCCATGATCCATAACCCGTTGAAAGTTGAAAACTTACTCCAACAAACTTATTTACCATCATGATCTCCCGCTCTCTTCAACACTACCTACCTCTACCCTTTCAACATTTCCTACTTGTACCTCGTTCACATTTCCTACCTCTACCCCTTCAACACTTCCTACCTCTACCCTTTCAAAAATTCTTACCTCTACCTCTTTTACAAGTCCTACCTCTACCCTTTCGACTCTTCCTACCTCTACCCCTTCAACATTTCCTACTTCTACCTCTTCAACACTTCCTACCTCTACCCTTTCTACACTTCCCACCTCTACCTCTTCTACACTTCCTACCTCTACCCTATCAACACTTCCTACCTCTACGTTTTCAACACTTCCTACCTCTACCCTTTCGACACTTCATACCTCTACCTCTTCAACACTTCCTACCTCTACCCTTTCAACACTTCCTACCTCTACCCCTGCAACACTTCCTACCTCTACCTCTTCACAATTTCCTACCCCTACCTCTTCAACACTTCCTACCTCTACCCCTTCGACACTTCCTACCTGTATCTCTTCAACATTTCCTACCTCTACCCCTTCAGCCCTTCCTACCTCTTCCTTATCGCAACGCATTTCCATATAAAACTCATGAATGGAAAATATTTTTTATGTTTCAGAAAATCATCATCTCGCTACCACTACCTGATCGCTATTTATTTCCAAAAATTTATGAATATATAACTTTTTGTTTAGCAAAACCATCATTTCCCAGCTACCACTTGCTCGCCATCGCATTCATGTATACTTGTGAATGAATGTTTTTTGTTGTAAAAACGTCATCTCGTATTTTGTTACAGTCGGGCGAGAAGTGCAGCGTTAACCTGATGGGGCGCTCCACTCCTTCGTTGTACTACACCTGCCTTCTACCGACGTCGGAGCCAAAACTGGTCACCCGCGACGCGCTCCTTCAGGAAAGAAGAGGGTCTCGCTCACGTCGCCCGTCAGGGGAGTCCTCCCGTAGGTCATCGGTATCCAGTATCCACGGGGACTATAGTTACGGAGGTCCGTATAATCCAATGGCAATGGCTCCGTATGAGCCTTCTTCTTTGATGTCCATTGACCCATCAACATACGTGCCGAACATCCCTACGTACACACCAACATACGTTCCGGATCCGGTTTTCGCCTCCGAACCAACCTATGTGCCTGAAGGTGCTTACTCGAATGGGTACTCGGACCCCTCGATGTATGGGGCGGTTATCCCTTACCCAAGTCCAGACTTGGAACCTGTTCCTTCCGTAAAGCGATCTGACACGGTTGGTCGTCTCCTGGACAAGTATTGTAACTTTTCAACTGAAAGAGAGTTCTACCATCCCCCGACTGCTGCTTATTCGAAGTACACTAGGAAATCAGGGTTGGGTCCTGACTCCACGGACGATGAAACTCTCAGTGAGCATCAGCAACAAAGCTACACTAAACCTCCTCGGTCACACAAAAGTAGCAAGGATCGTGGGACTAACGATACTGACTACCATTCACGATTCTCAAATATCTATGAAGAAGATGAAGATGCCGCTTATTCGCCACCAACTAAGCACGCTGGACCAAAGAGTCCCTACAGGTTTGCGGTTGGAGATCAGGGTAGTTCTGAAAGAGATCTTCTTAACCAATCTGCTGACTCCGAAGGCAGAAATTCAAGGTATAAGGGGTCTCCAACTTCAAGAGTTATCGCCGCAGAGCCCTTCGAATCCAGAGCCACGAATGTGATTTCCAACGTGGTGGCTGATCCGTTTGCCCTCAACGCTGGGTACTTCAATCTTGGTCGTTTCGATGACCCCATTGCCGAAAGATATTCAAGGAATGTTTGTGCTTACTCCCTACCTGAAGATTTGGATGCCAAGTACGGGAGGTCAAGGTATGGTTACCAGAATCCAAACATCGGGGATCCTGTGCTAGGGGATCCGTATGGAATGATGGGAGCTTCGGATCAATTCACGCCGAATTATACAAGTCGATATTCTCGTTACCATTCTTTTGAACCCGGTTGCCAGAGGGGAATGCACCCACCGGTGCAAGTGAACGGAGACCAGAGGGAGAATCAGATGCCGTATGAAATTCCAGATGAGCAACCACGTTTTGGCAAGAAGAAAATGGGTTATGAAAGTCCAAGTGCCTCTCGAAAGTTCAATGGGGCGTATGAAGAACTTGACGAGAAACCAGATCTAGGCAATCGAATAAGCAGGTTTCTGAAACCTAAGAACGACGGGGATGGTCGACGAGTGACATCTAGGTATGGAGGTGGTAAAACTTCTAGGTTTTCTTCTGAAAATGATGATGTACGCCCCAGTTATACAGAGAGGACGCGATATGGTAGATTCCAACCAGACCCTGACGAAGTACCACCAAATACTTCTCGATACTCTCGTACTCCTCAAAGAACCTACGGGGCTGGAGGTAGCGGTAGAACTATGACTACTCCTGGACTTTCATCATACTTGAATGATGATCATTTAGGTGGATCACCGAGTAGGTACCGTAATACTCGCGCCAGCGCTGTTCGGGACACGATGTCCCCTTTGGATGATGAATCCCCTTACGTAGGAAGAGGAAGCAGGTATGGTCTACCTAGCCAAGCTCAAGACTCGAGAGGGAAAAGTTCCGCCAGAGATGACGGACCAAGTTTCGGCGAATCTCTTCGGAAGAAGTACGGCATATCCCCCGATCCAGATGAAGAGGGATCAGGTAGTTATAACCCGAGAAGTTCCGTCTTGCGTTCTGCACCGACTTCGACATCGTACTCCGAATTAGTACCAGACGAAGATAGGCCATGGCGTCGTCATACTTCAGTGACGAGAAGGAAGCCCTTCATCCTACCAACCTATGACGATGACGACGATGACAACGACGACACGTCATACAACCCAAAACAGACCGAGCGGCAACTTGCGTCTAGGATCGCTAAACAATATTTAGGAAATGGTGTTAAAAACGACGATGATGATGGAGACGAATAGGATAATTTAGTTATGAGAAGTTTTCATTTTTTTTGAGTTTCATAGAAAATATTCCTTAGTCTTCCATTAGATACTTGTCAACCCCGAGGCTGTCGTTAATTTTAATTTTGCTTCGAATTAATAGCAACTTATTAATTTTTCAATTGGAATTAGCAGCTGTATTAAATTCAAATACGGTAAAAAGTTATCAGAAAATGTGTTTTTCTGTTCGTTTTGGGTGTAAATGAACATGAACATTATTTTAATTCATTCATTTTTTAATTCATTGCAGTATGGGACGAATTTCCATAATATTGAATTGCTCGAATATTTTTAAGATGATATTCATATAATGTTGCTGTATTTGAATAAACCGAATTTTTGTATACAATTTAAAAAACTTTGCCTCTCGACGCTATAAATGCGTTCTAAAGTAGCTTAATATATGTATTGTTACAATATTAATTTATATATTTATTCAAGCCCCAATGTTTTTTCTAAATGAGATACATCAAATATTGGGCGAAATTTTGCTATTAAGCCAATAATTTTTCTTTGAGTTACTCGCCTACAATCTACGCAACATGTAGATTGTTCTCTACCCTTATTTATAATCTACGCAACATGTAGATTGTTTTCTACCTTTGTTTATATTCTACGCAACATGTAGATTGTTTTCTACCCTTGTTTATAATCTACGCGACATGTAGATTGCTTTCTACCCTTGTTTATAATCTACGCAACATGTAGATTGCTTTCTACCTTTTCTACCCTTGTTTATAATCTACGCAACATGTAGATTGTTTCTACCAATTTTTAGGAACACCGCTATAAAGGAGGTTGGTTTTACCCTTGTTTGCATACCTTTTTATGTTAACTTTAGTTATTTTCTTGATTAAATTGGTTGTTATAGTTAATCTATGGTATTTATAGTCTATATATACCATGATTATATTGGTTGCTATAGTTAGTCTATGGTATATACGTATAGTCTATATATACCATGATTATATTGGTTGGATTAGTTAGTCTATGGTATATATAGTCTATATATACCATGATAATATTGGTTGCTATAGTTAATCTATGGTATATATAGTCTTTTCTGGACAATGTGACCGCCTTATTTATCTCAGTATATGGGAAAAGTTGTTAAAAATTCACCCTGTTTTGAAAAATATTAGAATTTTTGGCAATTATTTTAGTGAATTTAATTGTTTTCACTTCATATCTTAGTTTGTTTTCTTTGGTTATCGTCTTTGCTGATTTTTCGTCCAGCTTTTAATGTTTTTTTCGGGAGAGAATTTGGCGTTTAGGTTTAAATATATATGGGCATGTGAAGCGTCATACCCAGTCATGGGTGGGCATGTGAAGCGTCATACCCAGTCATGGGTGGCATGTGAAGCGTCATACCCAGTCATGGGTGGGCATGTGAAGCGTCATACCCAGTCATGGGTGGCATGTGAAGCGTCATACCCAGTATGTTATTACCTGGTAAATTTGGTTACCTGGTAATTGTGGTAGCAATAAAATAAATTTAAAATTTATTGACATTAAATTTAAGTTAAAGTTATTAGGTTTTTTCCCCACGTGAAGTAATTCATTATTTTTATTAATTCATAATATTTTTAATTTAATTTAATTATTTCATAATTTTATTAATTCATAATTTTTATTAATCACGGAATTAATTGATTTTAAATTTTATTATTGAATTTATTCTGTGACTCACCTACTGCGCGGTGACTCACTTTCAAATAACATATTTGTAACCTAATAAAAAATCGAAAATATATATTTTTATTTCCCTTCAATGTGATATTACATAGGATATTGTTTATTTAGCAATTAACACTGAATATAATATTTTTAACTTCCATCGACAATAAAATATTATTTATTATATAAAGCCGGACATATATACACTATTATTTAGTGTATCATACACTAAATAAAAAGAAATGCATTTATAAATTACTTATTAAAGACAACACTTCTAAAGAGGCCAGTGTTTCCGATGTTACACACGTATAATGAATTTATAATTTTATTTTTCAATATTAAAAAATATTTTTACTATTTTATTTGATATTTAAAATTTCTTTAAATTTCCAAAATTATTTATTTGTTCAAAATAGATTCATGCATTGTCTCCAACTTTATCCAAGTGTGCAAAATTTAAGATCGATTAGACAGGTAAAAGTGTGTCAAATTTAGATAACAGAATTAATTTCAAAAGAAGAACTTGAATGAAAAAATAGAATATTTGCAACAAATGATATTTATACAAGATACATAATAAATAATAGTTATATTACTTGTAAATGCAGACCAAATGAAAGATCATATGTTGAAATGTATTACACAACATAAGCTTTATATGTTATGTATAATATATAATATGAAAATAAATATATATAAAGCTTTACAAATGCTATACATGTTATATATAATATGTAACATGTGAATACATATATAATGCTTTATAAATGCTATACATGTTATATATGAAAATTAGATATACTGCCACACTTGTCGAGTTTTACGATCGTTGTTTTGATGAATTTGATGGAGGTTTAAAAAATGAAATAAAGTACATTAATACACATATTTTATATTAATTAATTATTATATTAATAATTTATTCATTATTAATTAATTAATATAATGATAGTGAGAAGATTTTTTGGCGCTGCTAGCGACCACAGTGCTATTCATATAGAGCACCAGGCAATAGAGTGCTATTCATATAGAGCACCAGGCAATAGAGTGCTATTCATATAGAGCACCAGGNCCCCACCAGGTGGGTTCCCGCCTCCCCCCACCAGGTGGGTTCCCGCCTCCCCCCACCAGGTGGGTTCCCGCCTCCCCCCACCAGGTGGGTTCCCGCCTCCCCCCACCAGGTGGGTTCCCGCCTCCCCCCACCAGGTGGGTTCCCGCCTCCCCCCACCAGGTGGGTTCCCGCCTCCCCCCACCAGGTGGGTTCCCGCCTCCCCCCACCAGGTGGGTTCCCGCCTCCCCCCACCAGGTGGGTTCCCGCCTCCCCCCACCAGGTGGGTTCCCGCCTCCCCCCACCAGGTGGGTTCCCGCCTCCCCCCACCAGGTGGGTTCCCGCCTCCCCCCACCAGGTGGGTTCCCGCCTCCCCCCACCAGGTGGGTTCCCGCCTCCCCCCACCAGGTGGGTTCCCGCCTCCCCCCACCAGGTGGGTTCCCGCCTCCCCCCACCAGGTGGGTTCCCGCCTCCCCCCACCAGGTGGGTTCCCGCCTCCCCCCACCAGGTGGGTTCCCGCCTCCCCCCACCAGGTGGGTTCCCGCCTCCCCCCACCAGGTGGGTTCCCGCCTCCCCCCACCAGGTGGGTTCCCGCCTCCCCCCACCAGGTGGGTTCCCGCCTCCCCCCACCAGGTGGGTTCCCGCCTCCCCCCACCAGGTGGGTTCCCGCCTCCCCCCACCAGGTGGGTTCCCGCCTCCCCCCACCAGGTGGGTTCCCGCCTCCCCCCACCAGGTGGGTTCCCGCCTCCCCCCACCAGGTGGGTTCCCGCCTCCCCCCACCAGGTGGGTTCCCGCCTCCCCCCACCAGGTGGGTTCCCGCCTCCCCCCACCAGGTGGGTTCCCGCCTCCCCCCACCAGGTGGGTTCCCGCCTCCCCCCACCAGGTGGGTTCCCGCCTCCCCCCACCAGGTGGGTTCCCGCCTCCCCCCACCAGGTGGGTTCCCGCCTCCCCCCACCAGGTGGGTTCCCGCCTCCCCCCACCAGGTGGGTTCCCGCCTCCCCCCACCAGGTGGGTTCCCGCCTCCCCCCACCAGGTGGGTTCCCGCCTCCCCCCACCAGGTGGGTTCCCGCCTCCCCCCACCAGGTGGGTTCCCGCCTCCCCCCACCAGGTGGGTTCCCGCCTCCCCCCACCAGGTGGGTTCCCGCCTCCCCCCACCAGGTGGGTTCCCCTCTCCCCCCACCAGGAAGGTTCAATTGAAGGTATTAATTATTAATATATTAATATTATTATTAATTAATAATTAGTCCATTATTAATTTTTCTGGAAGATTTTGCAGTGCAGCTTAAAAAACATAAAATTTATCTCACTTTTCAGAATTACTTATTGACAATTTCTTTATTCACTTCTCATCTTAATTTCCATATTCTTCTTTTATCCAAATTTCCTTCATTTTTTTTTCATTATCAAAATTTGGGTTCCGTTAAGAAGCGTGTCAGCGGCCGCAACTGTCGCCAGGCCTCAACATTTATTGTCATATATTTATTATCATTATTATTTTAAACTATAATAATAATAATATTTTGTTTATTAATATGATTTATTGTATTCATTCAATATCATATTATACGTATTTTTATTCTCAATAGCTTCTCTACATTTGCTCAGCATTTGTTTTCTAATACATTTTATTTATTATAAAATATTTTATTTTATCAAAGCGACTTTTTTATCTTATTAATATTATTTTATTAATAATTATTTACATTGTAATTCAATTACTACAATTATTACACCAGTCCGCTGACGCTGTCCACGGAGGACACCGCTGCGCTGCTGGACAACTCGGCGGCCAAGCATNTACGCAACATGTAGATTGCTTTCTACCTTGTTTATAATCTACGCAACATGTAGATTGTTTCTACCCTTGTTTATAATCTACGCAACATGTAGATTGTTTCTACCCTTGTTTATAATCTACGCAACATGTAGATTGCTTTCTACCCTTGTTTGTAATCTACGCAACATGCAGGTTGGTTTTACCCTTGTTTGCATACCTTTTTATGGTAACTTTAGTTATATGCTTGATTAAATTGGTTGCTATAGTTAGTCTATGGTATATATAGTCTATATATACCATGATTATATTGGTTGTTATAGTTAATGTATGGTATATATAGCCTATATATACCATGATTATATTGTTGTTATAGGTAATCTATGGCATATATAGTCCATATATACCATACTTAGTTAGTCTATGATATATATTGTCTATATATACCATGATTATATTGGTTGTTATAGTTAATCTATGGTATATATAGCCTATATATACCTTGATTATATTGGTTGTTAAGTTAGTCTATGGTATATATATAGCCTATACATATATACCATGATTAAATTGTTTGTTATAGTTAATGCATGGTATATATAGCCAACATATACC